CAGGCCCCTGAAGGAGGCCTGTGTGTGTACTCACCTAGTTGTGTTTGCGGGGGTTGAGCTCTGGCTCTTTGGTCCCGCCTCTCAACCGTCAATCAACTGATGTACAGATTCCTGAGCCTACTGGGCTCTATCATATCTACATTTGAAACTGTGTATGGAGTCAGCCTCCACCACATCACTTCCTAGTGCATTCCATTTACTAACTACTCTGACACTGAAAACGTTCTTTCTAATGTCCCTGTGGCTCATTTGGGTACTCAGTTTCCACCTGTGTCCCCTTGTTCGCGTCCCTCCAGTGTTGAATAGTTCATCCTTGTTACCCGGTTGATTCCCCTGAGGATTTTGCAGGTTGTGATCATGTCCCCCCTTACTTTTCTGTCTTCCAGTGTCGTGAGGTGCATTTAACGCAGCCTTTCCTCGTAGCTCGTGCCTCTTAGTTCTGGGTCTAGCCTAGTGTCATACCTCTGAACTTTTTCAAGCTTCGTCTTGTGCTTGACAAGGTACGGGCTCCATGCTGGGGCCGCATACTCCAGGATTGGTCTTACATATGTGGTGTACAAGGTTCTGAATGATTCCTTACACAGGTTCCTGAACACTGTTCTGATGTTAGCCAGCCTCGCGTAAACCGCATATGTAATTCTTTTTATGTGGGCTTCAGGAGACAGGTTTGGTGTGATATCAACTCCTAGATCTTTCTCTGTCTGTTTCATGAAGTACTTCATTTCCTATTCGGTATCCTGTGTCTGGCCTCCTGTTTCCACCACCTAGTTTCATGACCTTGCATTTACTCTGGTTGAACTTTAGCTGCAATTTGTTGGACCATTCATTCAGTCTGTCTAAGTCATCTTGTAGCCTCCTACTATCATCCTCTGTTTTAATCCTCCTCATAATTTTTGCATCATCGGCAAACAATGAGAGGAACGATTCTCTACCCTCTGGGAGATCATTTACATATATCAGAAGCAGTATAGGTCCAAGAACTGAACCCTGCGGGACTTCACTGGTGACGTCTCGCCAATCTGAGACCTCACCCTTTACAGTGACTCGCTGTCTTCTGTTGCTTAGGTACTCCCTTATCTAATGGAGTACCTTCCCATTCACTCCTGCCTGCATCTCCAGCTTTTTCACTAGCCTCTTGTGTGGTACTGTGTCAAAGGCTTTCTGGCAATTAAAAAATATGCAGTCTGCCCACCCCTCTTTTTATTTTGCCTGGTCATAGAATTCAATTAATCCTGTGAGGCAGGACTTGCCATCCCTGAACCCATGTTGATGCTGTGTTACGAAGTTCTTTCGCTCCAGATGTTCCACAAGCATTTTTCGCACTATTGTCTCCATCAGTTCGCATGGTATGCAGGTTGGGAACACTGACCTGTAGTTCAGTGCCTCCTGTCTATCCCCCTTCTTGTATATTGGGACAACATTAGCAGTTTTCCAAATTTTTGGCAATTCCTCTGTTACCAGTGATTTGTTATACACTATGGAGAGTGGCAGGCACATTGCTTCTGCTCCTTCCTTTAGTATCCAAGGGGAGATTCCATTCGGGCCTATAGCCTTTGTCAGATCAAACTCTAGCAAGAGTTTCCTTACATCCCCACTGGTAATCTCAAACTCTTCTAGTGGTTCCTGGTTAACTATTCACTCTCTTATCTCTGGAACTTCCCCTTGCTCTAATGTGAAGACCTCCTGGAATTTCTCATTCAGTTCCTTGCACACTTCCTTGTCGTTTGTAGTGAATCTGTCTGCCCGATCCTCAATTTCATAACCTGTTCCTTTACTATTGTTTTTATTTCTTGATGTGGCTATGCAACAATTTAGGTTGAGTCTTTGCCTTGCTTGAGATGTCATTTTCGTATTGCCCTTCTGCCTCTCTTCTCATCCTGACATACTCATTCCTGGCACTCTGGTATCTTTCTCTGCTCTCAAGTATCCTGTTATTTCTATAGTTTCCCCACGCCTTTATATTTTGCTGCTTAGCTAGCCTACATCTCTGATTAAACCATGGGTTTCTCATCTGCATTTTGCTGTTTTCCTTTTGGACAGGGACAAACTTGTTTGCCGCCTCCTTACACTTCTGCGTGATGAAGTCCATTATGTCTTGGACCGTCTTTTCTCTGAGCTCTGTTTCCCATGTTATATCTGTTAGGCATTTCCTTATCTCCTCATAGTTGCCCTTTCGGAATGCCAGCCTTTTGTTTTCAGATCCCTTTCTCGAGTTCCTTAACCCTTCTTCAACCAGATACTCAACCGTCAGTACACTGTGGTCGCTGAATCCTACCAGGGACTCGAAACCGATATCCCTTATGTCGGAGTCGTTAAGAGTGAAGACTAGGTCGAGTCTCGCCAATTCATCGTTTCCCCTCATCCTTGTGGGTTCCCTGACATGCAGGCAAAAGAAGTTTCTTTGTCGCCACCTCCAGTAGTTTAGCTCTCCATATATCCTCACCTCCATTTGGTTCCTTGTTCTCCCAGTCTATCCTTCAATGACTGACGTCCCCCATGATGAGCAGATGCGATCTATTTCTACAGGCAGCAGAAACTGCCATCTCAATTATAGTGTTAACTGCCATGTTGTTGTTGCCATACTCTTTCCTGGGTCTTCTGTCATGTGGTGGAGGGTTATTTATTACTGCTACTACTATTCTTGGTCCTCCCATTGTTATGGTGCCTGTTATGTCGTCTCTGAATCCCTCACAGCCCGGGATGACCATCTCCTTGAAACTCCATTCCTTTCTCATTAGTAGGGCCACTCCGCCTCCTCCCCTTCCTTCCTTCTCTTTCCTTATTACTGTGTAGTCCTGAGGAAACACCGCTTTCGTTATGATTCCTGAGAGTTTTGTTTCTGTGAGTCCGATTACATCTGGGTTCACTTCTTGTGCTCTATCCCGTAGTTCACTTGCCTTGCTTATAATCCCATCAATGTTCGAGTACATCACCCTGAAAATGACTCTTCTGTCCTTCCTCAAGCTCTGTTGATTCCCCTGAAGCTGGGAAACAGGGAGGGATCTGGATGGGATGTGTACTATGTACTATGTGTGTGTGTACTCACCTATTACAGTACTACTGTTTGGGTTTCCATGTTTTGTGGGAAATTCGAAGCTTTCTCGAATATGAACGGTATCTGACCATTCCTCAGCAAGCGACCCACAACGGTCGACTAACAACCAAGTTCCTAATTACTGCCAGGTGAACAGAGGCAACGGGTGCAAGGAGATGCGCCTAGCTGTCTCGCCATGCCCAGGATATGTGTGTGTGTGTGTGTGTGTGTGTGTGTGTGTGTGTGTGTGTGTGTGTGTGTGTGTGTGTGTGTGTGTGTGTGTGTATGTACTCACCTATTTATGCCTACAGGATCGAGCATTGACTCTTTTAAAGTATTAAAGTTGTGAATAGAGTTTGCTTCCACAACCTGCTCCTTAAGTGCATTCCATTTTCCACTACTCTCACGCTAAAAGAAAACTTCGTAACATCTTTGTGACTCATCTGAGTTTCCAGCTTCCACCCATGTTCCTTCGTTCTATTACTATTCCGTGTGAACATTTCGTCTATGTCCACTCTGTCAATTCCCCTGAGTGTTTGATACGTTCCTATCATATCCCCTCCCCCCCCCGCCTCTCCCTTCTTTTTTCTAGTGTCGGAAGGTTCAGTTCCTTCAGGCGCTCTTCATACCCCATCCCTCGTAACTCTAGGACGATCGAGCTTCGTCGCAAACTTCTGAACCTTTTCCAGTTTCATTATATGCTTCTTCAGATGGGGACTCCATGATGAGGCGGCATACTCTAAGACTGGCCTTACGTAGGCAGTGTAAAGCGCCCTAAATGCCTCCTTACTTAGGTTTCTGAATGATGTTCTAACTTTTCCCAGTGTAGTGTACGCTGCTGTCGTTATCCTATTTATATGTGCCTCAGAAGTTAGATTAGGTATTACGTCCACTCCCAGGTCTCTTTCTCGAATCGTCACAGGTAGGCAGTTTCCCTTCATTGTGTACTGTCCTCTTGATCTTCTATCACCTAATCCCATTTCCATAACTTCACATTTGCTCGTGTTGAACTCCAGTAGCCATTTCTCTGACCATCTCTGCAACCTGTTCAAGTCCTCTAAGAAGATCCTACAATCCTCATCAGCTGTGTGTGTGTGTGTGTGTGTGTGTGTGTGTGTGTGTGTGAGTGTGTGAGTGTGTGAGTGTGTGAGTGTGTGAGTGTGTGTGTGTGTGTGTGTGTGTGTGTGTGTGTGTGTGTGTGTGTGTGTGTGTGTGCTTGCAGGATCGAGCATTGACTCTTGGATCCCGCCTTTCTAGCTATCGGTTGTTTACAGCAATGACTCCTGTCCCATTTCCCTATCATACCTAGTTTTAAAAGTGTAGTATTTGCTTCCACAACCTGTTCCCCAAGTGCATTCCATTTTTCTACTACTCTCACGCTAAAAGAAAACTTCCTAACATCTCTGTGACTCATCTGAGTTTCCAGTTTCCACCCATGTCCCCTCGTTCTGTTATTATTACGTGTGAACATTTCGTCTATTTCCACTTTGTCAATTCCCCTGAGTATTTTATATGTCCCTATCATATCTCCTCTCTCCCTTCTTTTCTCTAGTGTCGTAAGGTGTTCCTTCAGCCGCTCTTCATATCCCATCCCTCGTAGCTCTGGGACAAGCCTCGTCGCAAACCTCTGAACCTTCTCCAGTTTCTTTATGTGTTTCTTCAGGTGGGGGCTCCATGATGGCGCGGCATACTCTAAGACGGGTCTCACGTAGGCAGTGTAAAGCGCCCTAAAAGCTTCCTCATTTAGGTTTCTGAATGAAGTTCTAATTTTCGCCAGTGTAGAGTACGCTGCTGTCGTGTGTCAGGAGTTAGTGTGTGTGTGTGTGTGTGTGTGTGTGTGTGTGTGTGTGTGTGTGTGTGTGTGTGTGTGTGTGTGTGTGTGTGTGTGTGTGTGTGTGTGTGTGTGTGTGTGTGTGTGTGTGTGTGTGTGTGTGTGTGTGTGTGTGAGTGTGTATGGGGTACTGACCTGGGGGGAAGCTGGCGTCGTCCTGAGTACTGGGGGTCCTGGCGGGGGCCGTCTGTGGGGGAGACAAAGACAGGTGATGAGCCACAGACAGACAGACACTGACACACACACACAAGTCAGCACATGACCATCCACCACCAGTCAAGACCTTTCCTCTGTTATTGGCGGTAGGTTTAAAGGCCTAGACCTTGTGGCCTTGGGAGTGGTTCTGGGCGAATATTACTGAGGTGTCAATCTACCCTTGGCCGAGTCAGTTATCTACGCCTGGCCGAGTCAGTTATCTACGCCTGGCCGAGTCAGTTATCTACGCCTGGCCGAGTCAGTTATCTACGCCTGGCCGAGTCAGTTATCTACGCCTGGCCGAGTCAGTTATCTACGCCTGGCCGAGTCAGTTATCTACGCCTGGCCGAGTCAGTTATCTACGCCTGGCCGAGTCAGTTATCTACGCCTGGCCGAGTCAGTTATCTACGCCTGGCCGAGTCAGTTATCTACGCCTGGCCGAGTCAGTTATCTAGCCCTGGCCGAGTCAGGTATCATTATGCAGCGTATCCTTGAAGAAGTTACTCTGAGATACGTGTCCAAGCCCCCCCATCAGAGCCCTCTGGGGCGGCTCTCTCCCCCTGGGGAAAGCAGGGCACTTATTAAGCTCTACAGTTCCCTCGAGAGTCAGAAGGGGCTGAGTGCTACATTGAGAGAGTGGACACAAGTACAGGTAACATCCAGGCGAAAGTTATGGAGACATAGGGACCACGAAGGTATGATGACCGGACCTCACATGCGGTTTGGGGCATGACGGCTGAGTGGATAGCGCTCGGAATTCGTAGTCCTAAGGGTTCAAGTTCGATCCCCAGCGGCGGTGGAAACAAGTTGGGCAAAGTTTGACGAAACGATGACGTTATGGTCGGCGTTTCTTGAGAGCCTTAGTCCTGGCTTTGTCACTATTGACTCTCCCCTCTCACAGTAATGCCCCAACCTTCTAAACAAAGGTGATCTGACTTAGGCCTACCCGCCTTTTCTTTTGCTCCCATTCGTACCAATCATCGTGTTCTCACCTTCCACCTTACTCTTGCCTTCTTCTAGAAATTATCTTCTCCTCTTATCTGCTTCTGACCTCTCTCTATAATTATTTATTGGCCCGTTCCTTCCTCGCTCCCTTATCAGTCAATCAATCGCTGTGTGTCCCAGACCTCGAGACACTTCCAGATGTGTCACGGCCAGACACACCTCAAATGTGACACCACCACTCATTCACCCCAAACATCTGCCACCTGCGGGGCTATTCATGCCCGTGCCACCGTTTGTGGGGGCTTACTCATCAACAACAACAACATCTCTCCCTCACACACACCACTACACTCACCTCTCTCCCTCACACATCCCCAAGGAAGCAGTCCGTAACTGCTGTCTAATTCCCAGGTACTTATTTACTGCTAGGTGAATAGGGGGAAAGAAACTCTGCCCATTTGTATCCGCCATCGCCGGGGATCGATCTCCGATCCACATGACTACGAATCCTGAGTGCTGTCCACTCAGCCACCAGCCGCACTAAGACACCCACATAGGTGGGCTCCAGAATGAGGAGCAGAGTTATTAACATAATCCCTGGGATGGGTGAAGTAATATGGTGTTATAGTGATGTCTGCTGCCACTCTTAGTCTGCTGCTACTCTTAGTCTGCTGCCACTCTTAGTCTGCTGCTACTCTTAATCTGCTGCCACTCTTAGTCTGCGGCCAGTGTTAATCTGCTGCTAGTGTTAGTCTGCTGCCACTCTTAGTCTGCTGAAACTCTTAGTCTGCTGCCACTCTTAGTCTGCTGCTACTCTTAGTCTGCTGCCACTCTTAGTCTGCTGCCACTCTTAGTCTGCTGCTACTCTTAGTCTGCTGCCACTCTTAGTCTGCTGCCACTCTTAGTCTGCTGAAACTCTTAGTCTGCTGCCACTCTTAGTCTGCTGCTACTCTTAGTCTGCTGCCACTCTTAGTCTGCTGCTACTCTTAGTCTGCTGCCACTCTTAGTCTGCTGCTACTCTTAGTCTGCTGCCACTCTTAGTCTGCTGCCACTCTTAGTCTGCTGCCAGTGTTAGTCTGCTGCCACTCTTAGTCTGCTGCCAGTGTTAGTCTCCTGCCAGTGTTAGTCTGCTGCCAGTGTTAGTCTGCTGCCAGTATTAGTCTGCTGCCAGTGTTAGTCTGCTGCCAGTGTTAGTCTGCTGCCAGTGTTAGTCTGCTGCCAGTGTTAGTCTGATGCCAGTGTTAGTCTGTTGCTAGTGTTAGTCTGCTGCTAGTGTTAGTCTGCTGCTCTTGTTAGTATGCAGCTAGTGTTAGTCTTCTGCCAGTGTTAGTCTGTTGCTAGTGGTAGTCTGCTGCCAGTGTTAGTCTGCTGCCAGTGTTAGTCTGCTGCCAGTGTTAGTCTGCTGCTAGTGTTAGTCTGCTGCCAGTGTTAGTCTGTTGCTAGTGTTAGTCTGCTGCCAGTGTTAATCTGCTGCCAGTGTTAGTCTGCTGCCAGTGTTAGTCTGCTGCCAGTGTTAGTCTGTTGCTAGTGTTAGTCTGCTGCCAGTGTTAGTCTGCTGCCAGTGTTAGTCTGCTGACAGTGTTAGTCTGTTGCTAGTGTTAGTCTGCTGCCAGTGTTAGTCTGCTGCCAGTGTTAGTCTGCTGCCAGTGTTAGTCTGCTGCCAGTGTTAGTCTGCTGCCAGTGTTAGTCTGCTGCTAGTGTTAGTCTGCAGCCAGTGTTAGTCTACTGACAGTGTTAGTGTGCTAACAGTGTTAGTCTGCTGACAGTGTTAGTCTGCTGCTAGTGTTAGTCTGCTGCCAGTGTTAGTCTGCTGCCAGTGTTAGTCTGCTGCCAGTGTTAGTCTGCTGCCAGTGTTAGCCTGCTGACAGTGTTAGTCTGCTGCCAGTGTTAGTCTGCTGCCAGTGTTAGTCTGCTGCCAGTGTTAGTCTGCTGACAGTGTTAGTCTGCTGCTAGTGTTAGTCTGCTGACAGTGTTAGTCTGCTGCCAGTGTTAGCCTGCTGACAGTGTTAGTCTGCTGACAGTGTTAGTCTGCTGCCAGTGTTAGTCTGCTGACAGTGTTAGTCTGCTGACAGTGTTAGTCTGCTGACAGTGTTAGTCTGCTGACAGTGTTAGTCTGCTGACAGTGTTAGTCTGCTGCTAGTGTTAGACTGCTGCCAGTGTTAGTCTGCTGCCAGTGTTAGTCTGCTGCCAGTGTTAGTCTGCTGCTAGTGTTAGTCTGCTGCAAGTGTTGTCTGCTGCCAGTGTTAGTCTGCTGCCAGTGTTAGTCTGCTGCTAGTGTTAGTCTGCTGCCAGTGTTAGTCTGCTGCCAGTGTTAGTCTGCTGCCAGTGTTAGTCTGCTGCTAGTATTGTCTGCTGCCAGTGTTAGTCTGCTGCCAGTGTTAGTCTGCTGCCAGTGTTAGTCTGCTGCCAGTGTTAGTCTGCTGCCAGTGTTAGTCTGCTGCCAGTGTTAGTCTGCTGCCAGTGTTAGTCTGCTGCCAGTGTTAGTCTGCTGCTAGTGTTAGTCTGCTGCCAGTGTTAGTCTGCTGCCAGTGTTAGTCTGCTGCCAGTGTTAGTCTGCTGCCAGTGTTAGTCTGCTGCTAGTGTTAGTCTGCTGCTAGTGTTAGTCTGCTGCTAGTGTTAGTCTGCTTGTCTGCTGCCAGTGTTAGTCTGCTGCCAGTGTTAGTCTGCTGCCAGTGTTAGTCTGCTGCCAGTGTTAGTCTGCTGCTAGTGTTAGTCTGCTGCTAGTGTTAGTCTGCTGCCAGTGTTAGTCTGCTGCCAGTGTTAGTCTGCTGCCAGTGTTAGTCTGCTGCCAGTGTTAGTCTGCTGCCAGTGTTAGTCTGCTGCCAGTGTTAGTCTGCTGCTGCTGCCAGTGTTAGTCTGCTGCTAGTGTTAGTCTGCTGCAGTGTTAGTGCTGCCAGTGTTAGTCTGCTGAGTGTTAGTCAGTGTTAGTCTGCTGCTAGTGTTAGTCTGCTGCTAGTGTCTGCTGCTAGTCTGTCTGCTGCTAGTGTTAGTCTGCTGACAGTGTTAGTCTGCTGCTAGTGTTAGTCTGCTGCTAGTGTTGTCTGCTGCTGTTAGTGTTGTCTGCTGACAGTGTTAGTCTGCTGCCAGTGTTAGTCTGCTGCCAGTGTTAGTCTGCTGCTAGTGTTAGTCTGCTGCCAGTGTTAGTCTGCTGCCAGTGTTAGTCTGCTGCTAGTGTTAGTCTGCTGCCAGTGTTAGTCTGCTGCCAGTGTTAGTCTGCTGCTGCTGCTGCCAGTGTTAGTCTGCTGCTAGTGTTAGTCTGCTGCTAGTGTTAGTCTGCTGCCAGTGTTAGTCTGCTGCCAGTGTTAGTCTGCTGCAAATATTGTCTGCTGCCAGTGTTAGTCTACTGCCAGTGTTAGTCTACTGCCAGTGTTAGTCTGCTGCCAGTGTTAGTCTGCTGCCAGTGTTAGTCTGCTGCCAGTGTTAGTCTGCTGCCAGTGTTAGTCTGCTGCTAGTGTTAGTCTGCTGCCAGTGTTAGTCTGCTGCCAGTGTTAGTCTGCTGCTAGTGTTAGTCTGCTGCCAGTGTTAGTCTGCTGCCAGTGTTAGTCTGCTGCTAGTCTTAGTCTGCTGCTAGTATTGTCTGCTGCTAGTCTTAGTCTGCTGCTAGTATTGTCTGCTGCTAGTCTTAGTCTGCTGCTAGTGTTAGTCTGCTGCCAGTGTTAGTCTGCTGCTAGTGTTAGTCTGCTGCTAGTGTTAGTCTGATGTTAGTGTTGTCTGCTGTTAGTGTTGTCTGCTGACAGTGTTAGTCTGCTGCCAGTGTTAGTCTGCTGCCAGTGTTAGTCTGCTGCTAGTGTTAGTCTGCTGCTAGTGTTAGTCTGCTGCCAGTGTTAGTCTGCTGCCAGTGTTAGTCTGCTGCCAGTGTTAGTCTGCTGCCAGTGTTAGTCTGCTGCTAGTGTTAGTCTGCTGCCAGTGTTAGTCTGCTGCTAGTGTTAGTCTGTTGCTAGTGTTAGTCTGCTGCTAGTGTTAGTCTGCTGCCAGTGTTAGTCTGCTGCCAGTGTTAGTCTGCTGACAGTGTTAGTCTGCTGCCAGTGTTAGTCGGCTGCCAGTGTTAGTCTGCTGCCAGTGTTAGTCTGCTGCCAGTGTTAGTCTGCTGCTAGTGTTAGTCTGCTGCCAGTGTTAGTCTGCTGCTAGTGTTAGTCTGCTGCTAGTGTTAGTCTGCTGCAAGTGTTGTCTGCTGACAGTGTTAGTCTGCTGCTAGTGTTAGTCTGCTGCTAGTGTTGTCTGCTGCCAGTGTTAGTCTGCTGCCAGTGTTAGTCTGCTGCCAGTGTTAGTCTGCTGCAAGTGTTGTCTGCTGCCAGTTTTAGTCTGCTGCAAATATTGTCTGCTGCCAGTGTTAGTCTACTGCCAGTGTTAGTCTACTGCCAGTGTTAGTCTGCTGCCAGTGTTAGTCTGCTGCCAGTGTTAGTCTGCTGCCAGTGTTAGTCTGCTGCCAGTGTTAGTCTGCTGCCAGTGTTAGTCTGCTGCTAGTGTTAGTCTGCTGCTAGTGTTAGTCTGCTGCTAGTGTTAGTCTGCTGCCAGTGTTAGTCTGCTGCCAGTGTTAGTCTGCTGCAAGTGTTAGTCTGCTGCCAGTGTTAGTCTGCTGCCAGTGTTAGTCTGCTGCCAGTGTTAGTCTGCTGCCAGTGTTAGTCTGCTGCCAGTGTTAGTCTGCTGCCAGTGTTAGTCTGCTGCTAGTGTTAGTCTGCTGCCAGTGTTAGTCTGCTGCCAGTGTTAGTCTGCTGCGTATGTTACCAACGCCCCGTGCTCCCCAAAATAAGGGCGCGGGTCTCCGAGTCGTCCAGAACATTTCTGGAAGACATCAATTATATACAATTCGCGGAATAGATTATCGACAAGATTCGATTCTCTGTGATCTATGACGTCACGGTTAATCTTGGCCTCACTGGGGGGGGGTCACTATTTCTTGACGTCACCACCCTCTCCCTCCCCGGGATGGTGACCCGAAACACATCTCAGGAGAGGATGAATTCTTCACCATCATTTGATATTCATCATGATCTTTGTTGTACTAGGGGTGCGCGTCAGGGGTCCCTGCCTGGGAC